AAACTCTTCGCCAGAATAAGGTGGGGGGACTCAATAGTTGTTTCCAACCGTGAGGCCCCACACGCGCTTCCCGAGAGGCAGAAGGCCTCACCCAGGGACTTCGTTTCTCCTCTGGGGGTCGGCGGAATGCCGCAAGCCACTCGAGCAAGCTACGCGCGAATGCCCGCGCCGGCGACCCCGCCGTCGTTCGCCCTTCAGGTGGAGACCTGCCAACGGGTCCGAGTAGATGGGGCCAGGAGATCGCCCCGCTTTGCCGACGCATCGCCGATGCATCGGCGACGGCAGCGCAGCATCGGCGCCGCTGGCGTGGAGAAACTCGGATCCCACAACGGGCCGCGTTCCCGACGGACGACGAGCGACGAAGACGACGACGACGAAAACGATGAGGAAGACGACGACGACGTGGAAGAAGACGACGACGTCGACGACGACGGCGACGACGAAAACGACGAGGAAGACGACGACGGCGACGACGACGAAAACGACGAGGAAGACGACGACGACGAACAAAAACGACGAGGAAGACGACCACGACGACGACGACGTGGACGAACGTCGACGCAGATTTCGACGTCGGCGCCCTCCACCGCCCAACCCGGCGCGCGCACGGCGCACGCGCACCGACCGCAGGCACTTCCTTGCAGGGTCAAAGCCCCCGCCGACGCCCTCGCCGGCGGCCCCCGCGCCGTGCTCGTGAGCAAGGCGCCGCATCGCCGCGCGGCGGCGAGAGCGCCGCAGCGCCTGAGGGGCAGCCGAGGGCCCAAAAGCCCCCGGGACGGCCCAAGGGGCCACCAGGACTCGAGGAGGAGGAGGAGGAGGAGGAGGAGGAGAGGAGGAGGAGGAGGAGGAGGAGGAGGAGGGAGGAGGAGGAGGAGGAGGAGGAGGGAGGCGGAGGAGGAGAGGAGGAGGAGGAGGAGGAGGAGGAGGAGGAGGAGGAGGAGGAGGAGGGAGGCGGAGGAGAGGAGGAGGCGGAGGAGGAGGGAGGCGGAGGAGGAGGAGGAGGAGGAGGAGGAGGCGCCTCCCGAGGCCAACATCCCAGGAGTGCTGCAGGATGTGGGCGCTCTCGCCCCGCTCGGCGCGCGGAGGCCCATATGACGGCCCGAGAGCCGCCTCCAGAAGGGCCCCCAGACGGCCCAAGAAGCTCCCCTCCTCCTCCTCCTCCTCTCCTCCTCCTCCCTCCCCCTCTCTCCTCCTCGTCGCTGGAAGGGCCCCACGGCGGCCCAGGATCAGGTCGGGCGTGTCCCCCTACAGGCGGATCTTGGGCGAAAAGCCATAGACAACGATACGCGAAAAGACCCCAAAATGGTCACACATACTCGGAATATCGTCCCCAGACTATTGTCGGACAGTTTTTGAAGTCCTCCTGCAGGAGGCACGCGCCCGACTTGACACCAACGGGACCTCCCAGACCCCCCTTCGCGTCGCGAGGAATCACGGCGGCAGGTCTTCCTGTTGCTGCTTCCGGGCTCGCGGGGCCCCCTCGCCGGGCTCCAGGGCCGTCGAGCAGACAACCAGGGCCAAAAGCTGGTCTGGGGGAAGGAGGAGGAGGAGGAGGGGGGAGGAGGAGGAGGAGGAGGAGGAGGAGGAGGAGGAGGAGGAGGAGGAGGAGGAGGAGGAGGACGAGGAGGAGGAGGAAGGAGATGGAGGGAACGATGCGCAAAAAGGAAGGCTTCCTGGGTCTGGAACCGGGAGGGGGAACATCGACCTGGAATCGGCGAGACTGCATCGACGACAGATTGGCGCTGGGCCCCCGATAGCGACTCCGCACGCTCCTAGGCAGGCTGAGCCTATCCTTGAGTCGGGCATATCCTCCTATAGGCGCAGCTTGGACGAGAAATTTGAAAATAGCAAACGAATACACCAAAATAATCAAACATAGTCAAAACAACTCGTCCCAGACGATGTTCTTTGTATGTTTGGTTATTCCTCCTGTAGAGGGACAGGCCCGACTGAATTAAACGACTTAAGCGACAGGCCCGACTTACGGTCGAAGATCTCCTGACCCGGGTCAATCCAGACCCGGGTCAGTCAAGCCTTGCAGAATCCTGCAAACTCCTGCGAGATCCTGCACCCAAACCCGGCCCAACGCGAAGGATCCTGCAAGATGCTGACTGGGTAGTCGAAGCCAATCTGGCGCCAATCTGGCAGGCCCAATCTGGCAAACGGGGGCAATCTGGCGAGGGAGCCAACGCGAATCCAGTCTGGCGAATAACCCAAATCATCCAGTTTGGCCAGGCCAGATTGGCCCTTGGGGTCCAATCCAATCTGACAGTCTGGCCTTCGACTACCCAGCCTGAAGGATCATGCGCCCAAGCCCGGGTCAGTGCGACACTGGCCCCCGTCTCGAGGCTCCCGATGGGGGCCAGTCCTTGGCGCTCCGGCGGCCATTCTGGACTGTCCGGGCGCCCCTGGAGCGCCCGCGGCGAGGCAGCCCGAGGCCGGAAGGCCGCCGAGACGCGACGACGACGCCCCAGGAGCTCAAACCTCGAACTCCCCCTTGGTGGGCGGTAGGTCGGGCACGTCCCCCTACAGGAAAAGCTTAGGCGAAAAATAAAGCATACCCCCAAAACTGCTCAAAAAAGTAGCCAGACATGCTAAACGACTAGTGCCCAGACTCGTTTTTGACCATTTGGGAGTATTCCTCCTGTAGAGGGACGTGCCCGCCTTAACCCTGACTGGCGGCGAGACCGGCGGGAAAGCGAGAGGGGGTGGGCCTTCTCAGACGGCGGCGGGGCTTCTCAGAAGCCCTCGAGCCTTCTCAGAAGCGTTCCAAGCTTCTCCTCCCAAGATACAGCAAACCTCTCAGAGGGCGCGAGGGCTTCTGAGAAGCCGTGCCGCCTTCTGAGAAGGCCTGCCCCCTCCCCTGGGCTCGCCGCCGACCTGAGCCTATCTAGACGCTCCTCCGTTCGGCGTCGTCTTCGCCGTCGCCGCTCCCCCCCCCTTTCCTGGGTCGTCCTCCTCAAGCGCGCCAGCCAAAGGTAAATCAAACAGCAACGTCGTAATTGAGTCAAGGGGAAGCCCTTCCCTTTGATCCTTCCCCGCCGGGAGGTGGGGGACTTGCCCCGAGTCCAGGGGGGACCCGGGGCAAGTCCCAGGTCAGAATGTCACCACCACCCTGGGGGTCCCAAAGCTAAAAACTCTCAAAAACGAACAAAGACTGCCTCAAGAGGCCATCAAGACGGTCCAATGGGGCCCCGAATCGCCGAACTATCGGTCCAAGACGCCAATGTAGCCTCCAGACGGCCCAAGAGGTTTCCAAGACGCCCCAAGAGGCCTCCAAGAGCACTCCCAAGAGAGCACCAAGAGGCAACAATCATTGATTTCCCGCTGGTGTTTGATAGAGATTGGGATTCTCGCCTTGTCGACTTCCCGACACTCCAAGACGACCCAAGAGGCCCCCAAGATCGCCCCAAAATGGGCCAAGGGGCCTCCACGATGACCCCAAAACGACCCAACGGGGCCCCAAGACAGCTCAAGAGGCCTCCGAGACAGCCCAAGAGGCCTCTAAGACGGCTCCAAGAGAGTGCCCAGAAGGAGAACCCGAACGGACATTTCGATCCCTCGCTTTGAGAGGCTCCCAGGAAGCATCAAGAAGCCCCCAAGACGCCCCCAGAGACCCCCAAGAGGCCCCTGGGAAGCCCCAGAAATCATCCAGGAGCCACCCAGAAGGCCCCCAAGAGGCTCCCAAGAGGCCCCACAACTATCCCCCCAGAGGCCACCGAGAGCGCTCGGAAGAGACTCCAAGAAGCATCCCTGAGGACGCTGACCGACTACTCGCAAATTGCCTGGATCCGCCCTGGGGGATTTACGATCCAGTACGTCGAGACGAACATGTGTTATGTTAACCTTTGATCAGTGGAACGCGTTCGATTGATTTGCAAGAAAAACATCCCTAACCCATTGGGCGGGAACCGATTTTAGGATTGCCAAAAACACTAAGGGATAGGGGCTCTTTTTAGCAAATGGATCAAACCCAACCACCCTGATATATTTTCCCTGATGCACAGACGGGGACCTCCGTTATGTTCGGGGGTCTCTTAGGAGGAGGAGGAGGAGGAGGAGGAGGAGGAGGAGGAGGAGGAAAAGAGGGACGGAGGGATGGACGGAGGGAGGAGGAGGAGCAGCAGCAGGAGGAGAAAGACAAGCTAGGTGCGCTTGCGTCATACCTGACGTCCTATCCCTCCCTCCCATCACTTACCATGGCGAAGAGCTCCTCTCCATTCGTACAATCGGATGTCGCAACATGGCATATCATTACATAGTATAGCATGGTGTTGAAGATCAGCGCGTACCATGACATACGATGATGTGGCGACGCCCCAAAGTGGGGGGGCTTCTGCGGCCCAAAACAACAACGAATCGACACCGAATGTGCAATCACTTCCGATGTTTTTTTCGGGAGGCCATTTTCTAGATTCTGGGGCCGGGTTGGAATGACCGAAAACCATGCCGTGGTACTGGAAATGATGACGCCTACGCCGCAATGGGAGCACGATTCGGGACAAGCGGAAGCGCGGAAATGAGGCCAGCGCTGCAGCGGGAGCACGATTCGGAGCGAGCGGTAGCTCAAACATGAGGCCAGCGCTTCAGCGAGGGCAGCAGTTTGAATACACGAAAAAACGAAAACCCAACTCCTTGGAATCCTGTGTAAAAAACAGTACGCGGAGGGCTTCCCGGACGCCACCAGGGGAAAGAGGAGAGTAGCACTCATATTGTGTAGGTGTGGGAGACGAGGAGAAGGAGGGGGAGGAGGAGAAGGAGGAGGAGGAGGAGGAGGAGGAGGAGGAGGAGGAGGAGGGAGAGGCGGAGACGGATGAGGAGGAAGCGGATGAGGAGCCGACGCCGAGGACCCAAGGAGGAGAGGAGGAGGAGGAGAAGAGGAGGAGGAGGAGGAGGAGGAGGAGGAGGAGGACTGCCCACCCCCCAAACGTTGCCCCATGACTGCCTGGCGCCCGCAGCCGCGCGGCGGACGGCGCCCCCGCGCCCGCGGGCGCGCGCCTCTACGGCGGCCCCCGCGGGCCTGCCGGCGGCCCGCGCCCGTCCAGCAGCGGCGCTGCGGCCGCGGCCGCGGCCACGCCGGCGTCCGCGCGAGCCACGGCGCCGCCGGCGCCGGCGGGCGCCGCGGCCGTCGGCTGGGCGGCCGCGGGCCCGTCGGCCGCCGCGCGGGCGGGGCGGTCCTCAGCAGCGCGCGCGCAAGGGCCCAGAGTGAACGTTTTCTTGCTCGGCGTTTCGCCATTGGGCGGAAGGGGGGGGAGTCGGTGGTGGACAAACCTCCCTGTAGTAAACGGCCCTTCAATGGAAACGGCCTGGGACCGAAACCGACGGACCTGGACCCGCAAAATGACGGCCGCGACGCCCTCTCGCGAACCGTGAACGGCTAATTCGCTAATCGACGTGTCAGGGCAGGAGGTCTGTCCACCCCCGAGAGAGGGGGAGGGGGGGTCTGGCTCCGGACCTCTGCTTCGCGCGACTGTTCGCAACAGGGCGTGCATGATGGGGGGAACTCCGCCTGCTCGAAACAGGCGCCCAAAACAGCCAGGAGGAGGAGGAGGAGGAGGAGGAGGAGGAGGAGGAGGAGGAGGAGGAGGAAGATCTGCTCCATGGAGGGAGGGGGACGGGGTGCGGGGGCCCTCGCGGATCGGCAAGACAATGAATAAGAAACAGATCACAAAGCTCCGACGACACGATGCTGCTTCCATCCAGGCGCGCTCCATGCTTCTGATCTCTTTCGTGCCCTGGGGGGGCACAGGAGGCCTCCCGAATGGGGCCCTCGCAGATGGGGTTGGAGGGTTCGACGGTGCGAAGAACCTCCAACCTGCGTGTCGGGGCGGCACCGTGGAACCGCCGGAGATCCGGACGTGGACGGAACCCTCTGAAACGAAATGCCATTTGGCGAAAGCTGCCAGGGGTACTCCACGTGCGCACGCCACCGCTTTCCGAGTGCACGCTGGCGGGGTGACTGACCGACGTTCAACTCGTGTAGTCCAAAACCAGGATGGCGGAGCACCAGAAGACTATCCAGAGGCCTCTTGAGGGATCGAGGGAGCTCTGGAAGCTACTGGACGGAGCTTTCGAAGGAGCTCCTGGAGAGCTACCGGGCAGACGTACTGGGAACTTAGAAAAGGCCTCTCGGGACACGCTGCAGCTTCAGGCAAGTCGTGCCGAGGTGTCCTGCCGGACGCTGGAACGAGCTCCAGGGCTGCCCTGCGGTGCCGGCTTCTACTTCGAAAACCCTACGATTCGCCAAAGAGCCCTCCGGGGAACACAACCGAATGCAGCAGGCGAAACGCGCGTCGGTTAGTTAGCGAAACCGACTAGGGACTGCACAGGCACTCGCGGATGCCGATGTCGAGGGAGCCCGTCGACTTGTCTGGGGGTGCGTTCTCCCAATGCCAGTGCCCGAGAGATGGAGAGAACACGGCCGTGGCACACTCCCAAAGGGGGGGGTCCCTCCTTTGCTACTCCCCCCCCCCTCCTTGGACCTCCCCTGCTGAAAGCACCCCCCCCCCTCATATGTTCCGCCCCTCGGAAGCTCCCCCCCCCTCCCCCCCTGTCGCGCGCTCCGGAAGTACCACCCCCTCCCTTTCCAAAGGGGGGTCTTGGCTACCCCCCCCCCTTTGAACCCCCCCCGCCGGAAGCCCCCTCCCATCCCCCCTCTTTTTGGCCGAAGGTGGGGGAGCTTGGAAGCCCACCCCCTTTGGCTGCAGGAAGGAGCGTCGAAGACCAAAAGAGCGCCGCAAACCAACAGCGCGCCGAAAACCAAACCGCCACCAGAAAACCGAAGGGGTGCGAAGACCAGATGGCGCCGAAGACCAGAGAGGCGCCGAACACCGAAAGGGCACCGAAAACCGAGAAGGAGCACGGAAACTGGCGATCGGCTGGTCGGCAGCAGGCGCAGGATGCGCACCAGGGTCGTGCGGGTCAGCTCCCGTCGCGGCCAGCACGGCCGCGAGCGGCGGCGGAGGCGTGTGCCAGCGGGTGCGGCGAGGTCGGAGCATGCACGTGAGCTTGGCCAGTGGTCTGATCGTCTGAGGCTTGGCACGTGCATCCCGTGTGCAATCTGTTCGGCGGCGAACGAAAACCTACAGGAGCGCCGATAGCCACGGGGGCGCCGAGAAGCCCACATCGCGCCGACGAGTAGTATTGAGGGCGAGGCCGAGGAGCAGGGCGAGAGGCCGGAGCGCAGAGGACCCACCGGCCGCCCCCCCGCCCCCCGCCCCGCAATCTCAGGTTCAGTCGGGCGTGTCCCCCTACAGGGAGATTATCGACGAAAAATTAAAAAAATAGCAAAAAAATGCTCAAACGAATGCCCCAAAATACTCAACAGAATAGGCCCCCAGGCTATTTTTGAATATTCCCCCTGTTGAGGGACAGGCCCGACTTACATCTTGGGAGGCAGCTCCACGGAAGCCTCTTCGGGAGCCACGACTGTGGAGGGCTCAGGGTGAAATCCATATGGGCCTCTCGCACATCGAGAAGCAATCCGTCTTGTTATTCACC